TTCTTCGCTTAAATAGATGTCGAGTTCTTGTTTCGCGATTTCCATCGAAGAGCGCATATCATTGACGCCCTTCTGGAGCGACAGTAACTGCTTCTCGATCTCATCCTTGCGGTGCAGAAGTGGTTCGGTGTCGCCCTTAATCTCTCCCATCACAACAGCCAACCGCTCTTTCGCCACTTTCAGGTCGTTTTCTGCCGTCTCTTTCTTTAGTGTCAACTTTTGTATCTCTTGTTCACATTTTTCGGGCATTTCAGTCAATTCGTCCAATTTCTTAGTCTCGTCTTCAATCGTTTTCTCCATCTTTTTGCCCTTTGTTTTAATGTTTTTGAGTTTATCTCTCAATTGGACGTCACGTCTCTCGCAGTCCTTGTATTTTTCGTTTAAATCTTCGGACTTCTTATTGATGACAGCGAACTGTTGGCTCATGTCTTTGTGTTCGGTTTCTGAGGTCTCTCTCTGTTGTTTCAATTCATTGATTTCATTCATCGCCGTCTGGAAGATATCGTTGGCTCTGTTGTACTCTTTGAGAGCCGTCTCCTTCTCGGCGTTGGCGTCACTTCTATACGTCTGATAGAGTTTGCTCTTCTCAATAGTGATCTCGTTCTCGGCCTCCAAGAACTTAATGGCCTCATCCTTGGCCTCCTTCAGAGCGTTCATCTCCTTCTCGACCACTTTCACTCTATTCATCTTCTCGGACCTTAACTCGTTATATTCCTCCACTTTGTCCCACAATTGATTCAACGGCTCTTTAAGTCGAGTCGTGCCGATGATGTCCTCCAAGAACTCAAGCATTCCTGACTCGCCTTCGGTATCGGCTTTGGGTTTCATGAGAGCGATCTGTTCGACCTCTCCCTGCAGTATAAGAAACCGATTGTAACGCAAATCGATTCCATGCGATGACAACAGACGCGACACTTCTTTGAACTGCACTTTCCGGTCGTCAATACTATAGTGAGAACTGTTGTCCTTATTTGCCGTTCGGCTGACAGTGAAGTTAGAGTCGGCCACAAACTCAAAGTCGTCGCCCGGCTGTCCATCACAACAACAAACATCAGTTAAGTGGACACAAGAGTCAACGCGTAATCTACACATACCTTATCGTTGATGAGCGCGAAGTGGACTATCACTCGACAAAAGGTGAAGTCCGGGTGAGTGTCGGAGCTATGGATTAAAACGCTTAACTTCTTTGAGCGCAACTTTTGAGCCCTGTATCCAAACACGAAGAGCATAGAGTCGATCACATTGGACTTCCCGGACCCGTTCGGACCCACTATCGACGTAAAGCTCTGCACAGACA